GAGTAATCCACGTCCATGGATTAGGAAACTAAATACTATAAAGACATCATTTCTCTCCAAATGTAACTCTAAAGTTGATGTGATCCCCATCAACATACCAATAGGATTTTTCTAGAGATCTACCTGCTGATTCTAAAATTTACATAATATTGTCAAGTGCCAAGAATACTCAAGACATCCTTCAAGAACAGGTGGCGGGACAGGCTCTACTGAGCATCAACACGTCATAAGAAGCCACGATGGTTAAGACAAGTGCCAGGAAACTAATCAAACAGAAGAGGGTGTGCAAAACAGACCTAAAAACATTTATGACAAAGAATGCAGAGCGAACCCTCATATCTCGATAATTAAAAGTCAACCCAATTTTAAAAATGGGCGAAGGATCTGAACACACATTTCTCAAGAGAAGATACACAAACAGCCAATATGTACACGAAGCCATAGGGAGATGCAAATCGAAATCACAGTGAGACACCTTTTCGCACTTACCAGACGGTTGTAGCCAGAAGGACAAATGCCGGCCTCCGCGTGGCAGAACTGGACCCTCCATGCGGTGCCAGTGACAATGCAAAACGGCACAGCCGCTTCAGAAAGCAGTCTGGTCGTCCTTCAGGAGGTGGCTCTCAGTAGTTACCTACGACCCATCAGTGCCACTCTGAGGTCTGCACCCAAAAGAAATGAAAATAACTTTCAGCTAAAAACTAGCACATGAAAACCCAGAGCAGAATATTACTAGTAGCCCAAAAAGTGGCGACAACCCAAATGTGCACCAGTAAGTGAACGGGGTACGTTAACAGTGGTCTATCCAAACAATGGGATATTATCTCCCAGTGGAAAGGAACGACGGACGGAGATCACGCCACAACATGAACGAACCTGGAAAAGCCTAAGGGAAGAGAAAAAAGCCAGGCACAAAGGACTGCCTGGTGCATGATTCTATTGGCAGGAAATGTCCCGAACCGGCTGCGGAAGGATGGGGGCGCGGCGGCGGAGGAGGCTGAGGCTAATGGTACAGAGTTACTTTTTGGAGAGGTGAAAATGTTCTAAAACTGGTGGTGGTGACAGTTGTACAGCCCCGGGACGGTTGTGCACACACTAAGAACCGTTGGACTGTGCGCTTGAAATAGGTGAATTGTAATGATTCCTGCACAGCATCTCAAAAAAAGCGATTATTAAAAAAAAAAA